CAGATCGAAACTCTGTAATTTGATTTTTCCATGAATCTCTTGTCATAAGTGAAAAATTCAGTAAAATGATCGTAACTCGGAAAGAAAGGCCTATGGGCCTTTATCCTTTTAGGTTTTTTCTAGCCTTATCAGGTCCTACTTATGGGCAAAATATCACCTGAAAAGCTCTTAATCACTTCGGGTGCCTCCCTCGTAAGTAGATAAAATAAAAAATGAATATTATCATATTTTTTTGACATTGTGCTTATCTCATTTTTTAGTGTGATAGGTCTTCATTATATAGGACATTTTCACAATATATCGATGCAAGTAGTTAGTTATAACACTTATTTTCAGTATGACATCGAAGACGACGATAAAAACCTCCAAGGAATTTCTTGATCTGGATGACTTCATTTTTCCCAATTTTATGCTGTTATTCATTATGCATCCAGCTTGGTCAATGATAACAAAAATATTCATCGTCTTTGGACGCATAGTCTCTATACAAGTCGATTATTATGGTATAGGACTTATTGGACATATGTAGCATGTACGTAACGGGTGCGCCAAAAATCATGACTACATTTTGCATTTCAATTTTCATTTACTTAATATATTGTATTAATAAAACAAAATATATCAGGAGACGCAATGTGAAAGGCTCTATAATTTACATGAGATCGCTCATTTTATACTTGACTTTTGGGCTTTTAAAATGGGCAAAATTTTGAGCGAACCAATTTCAACCGTGCGAAAATCGGTCGTACAAAATTTTGCTTATTTTTGAATGCAATTACAATAAGCTTTACTGTGTAAATTATAGAGCTTTTTACACTGCATCTTTTGGTATATTTTGTTTTTTTTTTAAGTAAAAGATATCAGATGATAAAAAGGTGAAAGAAGAAGAAATGAATTCATCTTATACAAAACAAAATATCGTTTTCGCACGGTTAAAATTTGACCCTTCAAAATTTTGACCATTTTGAAAGCAAAAACTGCAGTTATAAAAAAAGCGGTCGTATGTAAACTATAGAACTTTTCATGCTGCGTTTTCCGATATATTTTGTTTTATTAATACAATATATTAAGTAAATGAAAATTGAAATGCAAAGTGTGGCCATTATTTCTGGCGCAACCATTACAATTATTGATTTTATCATGAATTATAGAATTATGGATTGTAGTGATGTATGAATTTGTACAAAAACACTTATTTGATAATAAATATTGACGATATTAATTGTTTTTTCCAAACATATGAATAAAATTACTACTGTATTATTCACATATCAACTTATGATTAGTTTGTTTTCTTTCAATAGTAATTTCAAATGCAGTAGAACAAAAAAATCTATTGTATATGCTATCTTTATTGGTTTATTTTCTTTACTCAATAGAAGTCAAAATATTATCTGCCATTTATTATAGGGTCTGGATGTGGGTATGGATCTCCTCTTTACTCAAATTCACACATCCACATCCACAGAAACATTTTATTTATTGATTGATATATGATAGAAATAGCTTCTTAAGCGTATTTATCTTTGAAATACATCTAAATACAAAAAATTTCCTCTGATGAATGACAGAAAATAAACGTGTAAATGGGAGTATTCGTATAGAATTTGTCTTCATACACATCATCACCCACAAACCCACAATCACAACCAATCAACGGTATCCAATCACAATTATCTATATAAAACATCAACATTTTCTCCCTTGCTGTCGATAGCCATGATATACACAGTATGTTACAGCAAAAGTATGTACGATGTAAAATTATTCATTTTTCATTTATGTTTCTATTCTTTTGTTTTCTCTTTTACCTATGCATATATCAAAATAGAAATTACTGATGCATGGAGTAATAAGATGCATTTTTTTCTTCTGCTCTTCGTTATTTCATCAGGTAGCTATCTAATAAAAATAATAAAGTAGAGAACGCAAGAGGAAATAGATTGCTTAAAGAAGCAAAATAAGCAGTTCATTCATTTTTTTACAATTACTATACGTAAAGGTAAAACAAACAGCAGCAAGAAAAACCATGTCATCATCTGATGATCTACAGAAGTATGTTGGACAAAATGTTCGTAATGTGCAAAAAGAATTAGAAAATAAAGGTAATAGAAGGCTTCGATCATACTTGAATCACAAAGTCTAATTTTACATGTATGAATCTTTCTTCCTTTAGGCTGTGAAGTTCATCTAGTTTGTACAGGCCGCTTTGCAACAGGTTTTGTACCACCAAAAAACCTCGTCGCTGGAGAGCCTGAATCTGAACAAAAGAAGCGTGTCGTTATTTCATATAATGGCGATGATCCAGACGAAAAAATTACTTACATTAGTCGCGACGACTAGTAATACTGATCTTTTATGCAGAGATTATTATATGAAATAAACTCTTATTTTCAACTATATAATAGCTTGTTTTTACTTAATTGTAACCCACTTGAATCATTAAAGTTTATCAGTCGTATATTTCATTGTAGTATATTCTTTTAGTTGATCTATAAAATATTTATAAAACAATAATAATGACTAATGCGAATTCTGCTATTGCAACACTGCATTTGATTTTGAAATATCAAGAAGGTCTATTGAAGAAGAACTTCGACGGTATCTGTTATGCTTATCACTACGCAGTTCTAGTGAGTGAAGTGTGGTTGGGTGAATATGAGGATAGATCTTTCCTTCATTCTCACCTAGCCACCCATATCCACATGATTCTCATTTTAATTGTTTCGAATTTCTCTCGAGTACTGTCGATTTGACTTGATTCTTCGTCGAAAACAGAAAATCTCAAGGAAGAATTTAGATGTTAACAATTAAACAAAAGGAATCGAACTTGTTTTAATTCAAACATGTCCGATTCAGTAGCAAGATAGAAAGCACAAATTCATCGGATCATTACGATCTCTAACTGAATAAAAGAGGTTAGTCAAACGAATTAGTCGACAACGAAATGAATGCTGCGACATAATTAGAATTATCGAAAGCGTTCAACTCAATTTGCTTCTGCTGGTAATGTCAGTTGCACTGACCACGTCTATATTGTTACTCCAAAGTCCATGAACTACTATTCGATTGCGCTTGCTACTAAAAATCAATATAGTTTAAGAACAAATATTTAGGATATTATTGAAACCTTACAACATGTTGCATAAGAATCGCTTGACGATGTTACATTACGGGTTATTATATAAGCTGGAATCAATACTAAAACAATTGCCGAAGCTATCACCAGCAAATCAGTTCTAAATTTCATTTCTTTGTTGCTTTTCTCTTTCTAAGAATTCCCATAAACAGCGAACCTTGTAGATAAAGGTACGACCTTGTCAGCTGATTGAATATTTTGCTGCGTTATTTACTGTCAATTTGACTTCGAATGACCTTCAATGATCAACTTCATGTTGAATTGATGTTTTTCTTCTTAAAAAAAAGACGATTTCGATGCGATAGTTAGAATAAACATCAACAACATTCTTTTCCGATCAAATTCTGTCGCACCACAATTGTCAATCATATTTCTTGTTTCACAAAACAAAAGGGAAAATTTCTGAATTTTAAAAATGTTTCTGAATGTCTTCTGATGTTCTAATTTTGGTATTTTCTGCTGAATTTTTCTGGATTTTCTTCCGAATCCTGAACTCTTTTAGATCTCAATTTGCTTAGTGACGAAAAATATGATTATAATTTGTTACTATAATAGTGCTCAAGTTAAAATAAGAATGAATAGTAATATTCTTTCGAACAATTTGATACACATATTTTAACGCAAACACATTTGTTAAAGCAAAATTGAAAATATGAACAATAATATCGAATCGATATTATATAACTTATTTTTCTTTCGTGGAATTTCTTAACCTGCATGATATATAATTTAGTTTGTTTTTCTATATTTTTTTTTCGAATGAAATTCGAGTCTAATGGAAGAGTTCGACACTAAATGTCTTTTGTGCTTTCATATTAATTAAACAATATATTTATTGCCTTTTCTTTCTTTACAGTAGAATATCTATGAATATAAAGTATAAGTCGATTAAAAAAAATATCAGCATATTAACATAACAACCAATACTTTGTAAAAGAATGCTTTGTCTGAATTATTGCTGATTTCGCTCAAAAAAATTCTTATTGTTTTCTGATTTTGAAACATAATTTTTGAATTTTAAGTTTTTGGTCTGGCAATCCTGGATGCGAGTGAGTTTAATGAAGATATAATGTTACGATTGACAACTACATGACGTATAAAGTATTTATACTTGTATATTGATTTCCTCATTGAATTCATAACGGATCAGCTGTATACTCGAGATTATTGACATCATTTGATCCAACGATAGATCGACATCTATTACAACGATTACCATAAAATTTCAATAGCAAATCAAAAGCTTGTTATTCATTTTTTTTTATTGTTAGTTGTGTCGTCATTTAACCAATATGCAATGATGGACAAAGTATTTCAATCAACGTTCTTTCTTTCTTCTAATTCAATGAAGATCAATACATCACCGACAAATATTCTCATGCTCCATTTTACTTATTCATCAAATATTTCATCTGATAATTTATCATCTATCATATCATCGACCTCATAACCAGCTATAACGTCCGACGTTTCTGTTACTAACTTTGTATCTAATTCTAGAACGATGCTTGATGAAAATACAACTGATAATATTGAGTGAAATGCAACATATTCACTCATTAGAACCTACGCTGGCTGATGATGACGTTTCATTACCAGTCAGTACCGCATATGCTACATTACAACCAGTTGAATGAGTAACACCAATTACCAATTATGAGTCATTCCATATAAGTATCCAGGACAAAATATGAATAAAACAAAATTATTTATGCCTTCGTATTGTAAATAAAAATATTTACCGATCTGAGGAAGAGTTTATATTTTCAATATTAGAACTAAATGTACAATAAGAAGTGGAAAAACCTTCAATTCAACCTATTGATGCCGTATATAAAGTATTATTAAATATTTTACCCGAACAATAAAACCAAATACTTCAATTTTACATTCTTGTTTTGGGCATTCTTTGCTTACGAATTACATGTTCAAAAACAACTCAATATAGCTATTGAAAATACTACATCTATAACAAATATTAATGATTCAATTATTTTTTAATTAGTTTGTTCAGATTAATTATATCTATGTTTTTCTTTTGTTACTTCTATATATTTCTACAGAATGATTTTCATTTGAAATTTGTATATCTCATTGTGTTGTCATTCAAATCGTTGAATAGAAAAGTATGAAAGTCTTTTTTGCAACAATTCCATCAATAAATAAAGACAAATAAATGACACAATTGAATAGTATCCAATAAGTGACATTTATGAAAAAATACGTACAAATAAAGCAAGATGGTGTTTTTTAATAGAGGACGCTATCGAATTGAAATGAATTGAGTATATCTTCAATTCGAATTAAAACGTGTTAAAAATTAATTCATATAACTTGGAAATAATAAAACAAACTCAATAAAATAATTTCATTTATTTGTTGAAAAGAAAAGTATAAAACCATTTTTTGACATCAAAATTATTATGCAATTATGTATTCTAATTACCGCCATTCACTTATTTAAAAAGTTTTTATCTACTCTAAGATACCGGCAGAATTAGCAACAAAAAAAAAGAGTTTTATAAAACTTTTTGTTTTTATAAATAAAAAAAATCGAGGTAGACAAATTTGAATTATATTGAAAAACGCACGAGTCGATGGACCATGATTACATGAATCAAACAACGTGTGTTTTTTCTTAACTAGTGGCCATTTTCATAAAGAAACTTAGCTTTTTCTAAACTCTACTTCCATTTTATGTGTAAACGGCAGAATTAGAAAAAAAAACACGTTGATCGATAGAACAGAAAACAGTGCAGAAATGGATAAAAATTGACCCTCGTGCCACTATCATTCTTATTATACGATACCAGCTGAAAGTTTTTCAATCTATTTACATCAAACAACTTTTACGTGGCCTTTGCGAATCACGCAGATGATCATCACCTTTCCGAAAAGATAAAAAGTGGTCCGATTATGGTGCATTTAGCTATGACTGAAATACACACCCGTTGACTCATCAGACACGTGAGAGAACAACCCTCAAATAGAAGAGATGCAGAACAGAAAAAGCATACACAACCGTAAAAGTGCATACAGAACAGAAGAACAAGACGATTCATTGCAACTTTTTTATCCCACTGACTCAACGTATGTTGCCGATGTCTCTTCTTGCTTTACCAGTTGAGATTCTACACTGTATTTGTGACTATCTTGATATATTGGTCATTCTTCATTCGTTTCGTCATGTTTGCAAACAGTTATATGCTGTTAGCAGCACTTACAATCGTTATAAGCTTGACATTGCTGCAACATCAGTGTCGGATTGGAAGTTTATTTCTCGTCAGATTCAACCGGAAAACATTATGTCATTGATTGTCTCTAATTCAAACAAGAACACAACTCAACTCAATTTTTTTCGATCCATATTCAATATTTGTCGATTCACTAGACTTCATTCGTTGACTCTTCGTGATGCCGTAGACAATGATGCTCAGAAATTTTTCGAAGATATGCGTTTTTGCCAGGTAAAATGATACTTTTATGCATTTGTGTGCTACAGAAGTAATATGAAGCTGCGGGCTTCGGGGGCGCGGTTATACAATCGTCAGAAACGATTTATGTAAAAAAAACAACGTATCCTAAAAATCTGATTAAAATCGACCTATTCATTAAAAACCATGGAAAGCTGATTTTTTTACCTTCATTTTTAGTTAAGTCAAATTAACATCTCGATGTCAATCAATTGTAATAAAATCGTTGACCCTGAATGAATTACAATAAAAACCGAAAGCAACGATTTCAATTAGAATTTGCAATTTTCCCATTTAAAAAAACGATAAAAATCTGTTTTTTAATGTGATATCAATTTAATTTTTATGATTTTTAATAATTTTAATCGATTATTTGATTTTCAATCGATTTTAATTGCTATGACTATCAAACGCGTTTTTCTCCAATTTTAACTTAGAAACTCCGATTTTTTATTCTTCTTTCTGACCTCTCGTGTTGACAAATGGTATATTTAGTTGAGATTAAAATCGTACCATTTTAATCGATTTTCAATCAGAAAAAAATCGATGAAAAGCAGATTTTTTTTTGTCGTTTTTTACATGGGTTTCATCGATTTATACGGAATCGATTGAAACAAGACAAAATTTTTGTACGACTCGAGCTTGGCTAATTGTTTGATACCTTCGCTTCACTGATATAGACGGCAAAGTTTGAAATACGAAAAACTGTGAGTAGTCAATAATTGAAAGACTTATGCTGTCTTGATTTAGAGTTTCTATATAAAACAAGTCTTTAGTGAACATCTCATTCGAATCAATTCTGTGCTCAATAATGCACAAATAGTGATTTTGCGAAACATGATTGAAAAGGAGTGTTGAAAGTTTAGAGTGAAAAAGTTGGACTCCTCCTCTCCCCTCTACAGACCGTGACAGACATGTCGATATCCTTTATTATGGTTTTCGGATCATTGAATTTTGGATTATTGGACCATGGTGTTATAGATTTTCGAACCTCAGAGTTCTGGGTCTCCAGAAATGTTCTTGCTTTTGAATCAGCATGATGTTACTTGGCCAAAAAATTATTCTCTCTTGTAGTGCGGTATTTAAGCTTATATTCGACCCGGTGAGAGACAATTGGAAATAATTCTCTCTATTTTCTTAATGGATCTTTACAAAAATAAGATGCATCTTCATGTGCATTTAAAACAGCTCTATTGTGTTTTACATTTCAATCCTGCAGGAATTGTGTTGAAAGCTTTTTCATTCTGATTTATTTATGAAACTAAATTTGAATGGTAACTTAAACTGACTAAACAAGAAACCATCGATAATTGATTAAGACTTATGCTATTATTCAGGGTTTGTGATGTAATTTACTATTAAAACCGAGCACTAGATACTGGAATTGATTTTTCCCAATTACGCAGATTTAAGGAGTTCCTAGGGAAAAAGACTCTTATAAAGTTTCTACGGTGATTGTTTTTTTGGAGAACTATTTTTTGAATATGATAAGCAGCACAAATTTTGGACTACTAGTGTATCAAATAACATCATGATGCTTATTTTCTCAGACTCTCACCACACTTATCATCCAAGACTTTTCAATCACAAGTGAACAGATGAAACATCTTGTTGATCCATTGAAATTGAATACGGTAAATCGAATCGAATTTTTCTTTTTTGTTCCTCTCTCATGTCCACCTTCTTGTTTTTATAGTCGATCGTCACATTAACTCTTTCGCACGTAGGAATATCAGACACAAGCGTACAACATCTAGCTGTCGCATTACGATGCAACACAGTAATTTTCATTTTCTAATTATCTTTGATTGAAAAATCTAGTTATCTTCCTACTTGTACAGTCAATCAAATCACTTGATCTCCGAAAAAATTGGATTAGAGACGTTGGAGCATGGCATTTGGCTGATGGATTGCGAGCAAACAAAGTGACACTCATTTGTTCTCTGTTTCTTCTGTATTCGTTTACTTACTATTATAGACACTCACTACATTAAATCTTCAATGGAATGAAATTGGAGATAAAGGTGCAGAACATCTAGCAGATGCATTAACAAATAACATGGTGATTAGAATTCACTTTTTAAAAAACTCTTTAATATTTCTTCATGTCTTCACACAGACACTCATATCACTAGACCTTAATAGAAATTTGATCGGAGTAACTGGGGCACAACATTTGGCTAGTATGTTACTTTGCAACACGGTAATTTTCATATTATCTTTATTTGTCATATAAGAGTCGACTTTCTTATTGTTCAAGACACTCAGATTAATTGAACTTGGAAGAAATTCGATTGAAGATGACGGAGCAAAACATTTGGCTGATGGATTACGAAAGAACACGGTGAAAATTATTCCCTTTCTTTCTGACATTTATTTAGCTACTTATTTTTTTTTACAGACACTCACTAAACTATACTTACAAGGGAATCAAATTGGAGATGAAGGGATGGTACATCTTGCTGATCTATTGAGAAATAACACGGTAATCTTCTAATTGTTCTCATCATATATGTTCCATATCTATGTTCTTATTCTCACAGACACTTGTCATGTTCGACTTAGGAAACAACAAAATCGGAAATCAAGCCATGCAGTATCTCGCAAACGCCTTAGAAAATAATACGGTAGCTCTCGTTTTCATTTCATTTCTCTGATGTCTATGTTCCCATTTCAATAGACATTGAGAAAACTGGAACTCAACGGCAACAAAGATCGCTCGTCTACTGTAGTAGGAGCTGTGATTGCAATAAGAAATGACAAAGTAATCCTTCGAAAAATTCGCACCGTTTTTTGTATGTAATTGGTTTTTTTTTATACAGTCACTCGACATAGTGGATCTTAGCGGCAATGAAATTGACAATCATGGAGCAAAGCGTCTTGCTGATGCGTTACAAAATAATACTGTGCGTGAAATTTATTCTTTGTTTAGATATATATTCACCTGTTTTTATCCATTTTAAAGACACTCAAATTACTGGACCTCAGTGGAAATCAAATCGGAGACGCCGGGGCACAATACCTAGCTGATGCGTTACGAGATAACTCGGTAAATTACTATTTTTGGCTTTAGTTATATAGTTGAAGTGTCTGCATCTTGTACAGCTATCTATGGAAAGTGTCTTTGACTGGCAGTGGTCATTTATTTACCTAGATACCTTTTTCCAAAACGAAAAAGATATAGAAATTAGTGCGGACAGACGCGAATTTGAAAAATTTCGAAACTGAAAAGTTTAATGATATCGAGTTAATTTTTTTGTGCAAAAGTTGAGGATTTCTAAAGAGAAAAGAACTTGTCGCTGTATGTTGAACAGCTCCGCATTGTCCAAGATATTGATTAAGAAACATTGAGAAAATGGTGTGACATTTAGTCATGTGCTACTATTCGCTGCATATTTCAATCCGAAAAATACATATCTAGAGAACAAGAGCTCAAATTTTTAGTGACAATGAAGGAAAAGAAAGTGTATATATGGGTAAAGTTTTGCATAAATCCTTTACAATAAATTGTTGCTGTCCGATAAATAACACTTTTCAAGAATAGCAGCTATAAAATTTATCCATATCATTTCTAATTTGAACAGACATTGAAGAAACTTGAACTGAAGCGAAACATTGGTGGTTATTGTGTTGCCATTGGAGCAGCGATGGGAATACGGAATGATGAAGTAATTTCAAGTGACTATTCGTCCTTTCTTAGACATCATATCATTTATTAATTTAGACACTGATCACGTTGAATCTGAGTGGTCGAGAAATCGACAACAAAGGAACAGAATATCTGGCTAATGCTTTGAGCAATAATAAAGTAATTCTAATTACTTCGTTCTTTTTTTTTATTATAATATGCTTTTCGATGTAATAGACCCTCAGAATACTCGATCTAAGATACAATGAAATTGGTGATCAAGGAGCACAATATTTGGCGAAGGCACTAAGAAATAATAAGGTACTTAGTGCTAATTCTATATGTATCCAATAGCAATTTTATATCTTTCATAGACACTGATTATACTAGACCTCTTCGGGAATTATATCGGAGACCAAGGAGCGCAATACCTAGCTCAAGAATTACAGCATAATACAGTACTTCATAATCTACTTGAGTTTTCCATGATTAGTTCTTTTCTTTATCTTATAGACTTTGATTACATTGAACATTGGTGGAAATCTGATTGGAGAACGAGGCACAGAGCATTTGTTTCATCAACTACAATATAACACGGTCAGCTTCATTTTTACTACATTATTTCAACACGTTTCTTCTCAATCTTCTAGACACTCAACATACCAGACTTACGTTGGAATCGCATTGGAGCCGCAGGAGTAGAATATTTAACTCGTGCGCTACAAACTAGTGCGGTACGTATTTTTTTCTTGTGTCAGATACGATAATTGTCCTACCCTTATAGACAGTTACCACTCTAAACTTTGACAAAAACTATGTTGGTGACGAAGGGACAAAACATCTGGCCGAAGCATTAAGAGATAACAAGGTAATCGTCATGATCTCATTATATTTTCCTGATTTATCTCCTTACTTTTACAGACTGTCACTACATTAGATCTCAAATACAATGAAATCAGTGACGAAGGAATACAATATCTAGCAAATGCATTACGAAATAACAAAGTGACCAGTGCTCGTTTTTTTTTGTTTCTCTCATATTTATTTATTTATTTTTACAGACATTGACTAGATTCGATCTTAGATACAATGAAATCGGAGATGAAGGTGTACGATATTTGCGTACTGCATTCCAAGAGAATACAGTAAGCGTATTCCATTCGATCTTATTGATTTCTTTACTTGTTGATTTGTAGACATTGACGAAACTTCAACTAGATGGCAATAAAAGTGATCTTGGTATTGCTACAGGAATTGCGATTGCATTGCGAAATGACAAAGTCATTAGATTTCTTCATAAATATACTTTTCATATAATAGATCTTAATTTTCTTATGTAGAAGTTAACTACTCTAGCATTGAAGCGAAATCGCCTTGGAGACGAAGCGATACAATATATAGCTGAAGAATTACGACAAAATTCGGTATTATCTTTGTCTCTAATTTGTTGATATCTTTATCAAGTTACTCTTATAGACACTCATTACATTTGACCTCAGTTGTAATGAAATCGGAGATCAAGGAGCAAAACATCTAGCAGACGCGTTACGGAATAATAAAGTGATTGTGATTTGCTATTCACCTCTATTCTATTGATGTTTTTTTCATTCTTATAGACACTCAAATTGTTAGATCTTCGAGACAGTCGAATTGGAGAAAAAGGAGCACAATATCTAGCCGAAGCATTACGAAATAATACGGTAATTATCATTTCTTCATATTTCTTATATCTATCTTCCAAATCTAGCAGACATTGACAAAACTGGAATTACAGAACAATAATAGTGGATATTGTAGTGCTGTAGGAGCAGCTATTGGAATACGAAACGATAAAGTAAGATTTATTTTCTGTCTCTTCATCATCGCTTTTGTATACAATTATACCTTTTATTACAGTCACTTATCACATTAGATCTTAGTGGTGAAGGAATCGATGATAATGGAGCACAATACATCGCTGATGCATTACGAAATAATACAGTTACGCATGATGCACCGTCTGTTTTTTTTTCTTTTTATTACTGTTTGTTCTACTTTAAGACACTGAGATCATTGGAGCTTAAAGATAATCGAATTGGAGACATTGGTTCACAATATCTGGCGGATGTGTTACGAGACAACAAAGTAGGTTTCGTTCTCTTTTCATCATAGATATTGATATATATTCCGATTCAAATAGACACTAATCGAACTCGAATTGAAGCGAAATATTGGTGGCTACTGCGTTGCCGTAGGAGCAGCAATCAAAATACGAAACGATAGGGTAATTTAGAGTGAACTCTCATCTATATATACTGTATCATTTTTTTCTCATAGACACTAACTATCTTAGATCTTAGTGGTCAAGAAATAAATCACAAAGGAGCAGAACATCTAGCAAATGTTTTGCAAAATAATAAGGTAATTATCTTTGCTTGCCGTCTCTTTTATTTTCTTGTCTATTCTTCTTTTTCATGATCACAGACATTGAGAGTATTGAACCTGAGTTACAATGAAATCGGTGCTAGAGGTACACAACATTTGGCAGCAATCATTCGGAACAACAAAGTAAACTTATATTTATAATACTTGATACACATTTTTCTCCTTGATAGACACTCATTAAATTAGAACTTCTCGGAAATCATATCGGAGACAATGGATCACAATATTTGGCTTATGCACTAATGAACAACACGGTTTGTTTGACATTCTTAGATCTCTCTCATATCTATCATATTTATTGTCATAGACACTTACTACTCTGGGTCTTCGAGATAATAATATAGGAGATGTGGGTGCACAACATTTGGCTAGTGGAATACGAAATAACACGGTAAATCTCATTCTTTTGTCTCTTTCCTACTTCTATATTCTGAATATTTTCATAGACACTCTGTACAGTCGATCTTAGTTTTAATCCAATCGGAAACGAAGGAATACAACATCTAGCTGATGCTTTACGAAATAATAAAGTAATTATCATTATTTTTTTACCTAGAATATCTTTATCTTTCCTGCATTGTAGTCACCTCCTACAGTATACCTTCAAATGAATGAAATCTTCGCAAGAAACGACCAATCTCTACCGAATGCATTACGAATCAACAGAGTAATTTTCATGATTTTTGTCTAAAACTTCTTAATATTTGCCATTTTACTCTTGTAGACATTAATGACACTGCACTTTGATGACACCGAATCTCGAGATGAATCCGAGAGACAAATTGTAAAATTTGTCCGATGAAATGATGTATTGATACTAACACCGTGATGGTTATTTGGTCATCAGAAAAATGATGGCTTTCTTTTTGATTAAATAAAATTGTATGTTGAAATACGTAACAAAGAATATCTTTGTTACAAAAACATCGAATCTCGTGTGTGCAATTGTGAATACGAAACTATTGTTTGTGAGACAAGGAAGAAGGATGTGGATGTAAAAGAAAGGGATATCCACTTCCAAATTCATGCCTATGTCGTGATCAATGCTTCATCTAGTTTCTCATGGCGTGTTGGTTGATGGAGTAGTTACTGATGCAATTCTTGGTAGACTTCAGTATCGAGATGTTCATATATAGGCATCACATTGTTCAATTCGAAGAGTCAATTGAAATGTTTCAAAATAAACTATGAAGGATATTGAGGGCGTGAGTGTGAATGTGGAAGTTCGTCTTTTGTGCATGATCACACCCACATTCTCAATGAAAAATCTATGAATTCGATTTTCATCGATTTAGATTTTAATTGATTAAGAAGATTAAAATCGATTATCGATGAAAATCGGGTTAGGAGTCAGATGATAAAGAATAATCGGTAAAGTGGATTATTTTTCCATCTGATTTATTGATTTTGATCAATTTCAATCGAATTTTCTGCGAAAAATGGAAGGTCCGTCCAAAAGAATGAGATTTTGCAATCGATAATCAAAAATAATCTTGATTTTCTCATAAATATTTTTCACTGAGAAGTATGTATGATTAAAATCGATTAACAGGTAGCATAGAATTAGAGCAGATAATTTTCATGCAAAAAAAACGGACAACATCTGTTTTAATCGAGTTTTTCCGTCAAGTTTTTGCATGAGAAAGATCTCTATTTAGTTGAATTTCATCTTATCGTTTGCAAACCCGTACAACAGTATAAAAGATTGATCAAAATCGGACTGAAGTCAACTATATGAAAATTTTCACTTAATACGATTAATATTATATGGTGAACAGATATTTGATCAAAAAATATAATATGATTATTTCTATCGAATATATTTAAAGAAACGTTGTAGGAAAATCTTCCAATGATAAAATTGAATTATCAATATTAGATAAAATTTCAAGTATATGGTATTCAGTATGAGGTGTACAAATTATACTGCAAAGCTCAATACAAATATAATATACATTATGATATTTCATACATTCATTCGATGAAATACAGATGATTGAATATACATTGAAAAAAAACGATTTGAATTAAAAACATTATTGAGATTTTTAATTCCTATTTGTAATAGTTTAGAAAATGGGTTAAATTCATTGAATAATATCGAATGAATATTATTAAAGTCCGAAATTTAAGAATATTCCATCAGACACTTAATTGGAATAAAGATAAGAGACTTTTTTATTGAAATAATCAATCCAATAAAATCAATGAGTTAAGTCAAATCTGATCATAAATGATCTCTTCAACATGAATTTCGTTTTTTTAAAAACTTTATATAATTTAGTATATCGTAAAGTTCATTTGAAGTGATCACTTTTTTTTATACTTAAGATTCTGATAAAAAAGTCAATGCGATATTCACTTGTACTATCAGTCAATTTCGTATTGAATTTATTACGTTCCTTTCGTATTATACACTATGAAAAAAAATTTAGAACATAAGTGCCAAAAAGCTCATTCAATGTTAAGATGCGCTAGTTTTTGATCTGTATCAATAGCAGTCAGACCTTATTTTATGAAAGTCTATCCAGAGACAGTGTTAAAGTAGAAGGAAGAAAAACTAGGACTTCCTTTCTCGCAGACATAACCAAAGCACCATCGCAATAGTTGCGTAACCAGGTGGAAATTACAGGTAGCTCATCTACTGTCCTCTAGAAGCATTACCAAAGGGTCTTCGCTTCGTTTACAAACATAGTCAAGTAGGGACTGTTCCCCTCAGCAATTTTTTGTGATTATACTATTATATCGCAAACATCTTAGCAACAGTGTTTTTCTTTCCTGTCCATAGACCATCGTCGACATAACTACGAAACCGAACTCTATTGTCGTATTATTATGAAAGACGATTGAATTTAATATACGTGCCGTGTAAGATTCATTTCAAAGTTCTTATAATATATTCCAATCAAAATCTTTCATCACGGATATATCTTAATAGTACATTAGAATCAACAAATTGGATCTCATATTGCAGAATAATTTTGTTTCTTTGTTTCAATTTGCAATTGACTTCCATTCTTCATCATCATCATATAAGACGTTTTGTGATAGGAGTCTATCAAGAGTAATTAAATATTGTGAATTATCAGTTTGTATTAAAAGTAATGAATCTTCATTTATTGTTTAATATTGATTTCGATAATATAATGAATCATGTTGACGATCAAAGTAAATTTATTATTTGAATAATTCAAAAGATTGAATAGATATTCGTATGTTTGCTTTATGAAACCAATATATTGATCTAATTGAAAGAAATTTTTATTAGTTATTTGATTTATTAAAAGATAAGTTATATTAATTGCATTTATTCTATTAAAAGAATTTTTTACATGAATATTTATTGGTTTTTGTTATATAAATGATGATGAACGATATGAATCATTTATACAAAAACCAGAATAAAATTCATTTTCAAAACTAAAATCAACATTTGTCTATGATAAATCATTCGAATATTCAATTTCAGAATTAATAATAAATTCAGTTAGATTTTATACTTCATCATTTTTTGCAATAAAACGATCATATCAAAATGAATCACATGGAAAATGTATACCGATATTTAATATGAATACTGTTACAGTAGAATTAATTCTAAAGTCAATTTGCAATGTATCAATTACGATTAAGCTTATAAGGTAAATATATGAACAAAAATCAATCAATTGAAAATAAACGATTTCGAGAATCTGTTTATTGGCTCAATCAAGAAAAGTCTTGTTGATTTAAACCCTAGAAAAAGCAATTTATCAACTTTAGGGATCTCAAATTGGCATTCCCCATCCAAAACTTGTTTAATGGAGAATACTGTTTAATGTGTGTGAAAAATTTTTGATATCTTGGATATAAAATTCAATACCTGAACTTATTATGCAAGTCTTCGTAATCATATATTGATGAACATTTGATCCCGGCTTTTTAATTTAAAATTGTCATATGATTCAACTTATTGGTTCGATCATTTCTCTTGATTTTTCTATTACATTTATCAGGATGCCTTTTATCGGTCTCTTAGAAGTGTAATGCTTGTAATAACACTTAAAGTAGCGAGATATGCGTTTGAATTCACATCAGATTCGATTGTTCAGGCGAATGATATATTCATGTTTTTGTGGTTTGGTTTCATTTTCAATTATTTTATCGTTCTTTATTTGCTTTCTATATTTTATGTCGTCACTGGATAACCATGAGATTTAATATAATTAAAGCATATAATAAAAAGAAGAAGACAAAAAGTTTTATTATTCAATGTCTATTTGATGATTATGATTTTGAGAAAACTTAAAAATAAATCTAAAAATAATAACTATTAGTCATTAGATTTATATCTGTTTTTGGCATAAGAATTTTGATATGAAGTTCAATTTTCTCGACATTCAATTTTGTGAACTAAAGCATTGCAACTTAAGTTCTTATAGTAATAAGAGGTTTTTTTTTTATTGATTTTCTACTTCGTCTCGTGAGTAATCCTGATCATCAAAAAAGTTCAATCTATCGGTCGTGATAATAAAACACTAATATTCTTACTTGTTTCATTAGATGAAAGATACACAAAATATCAAAGTTAAAGAATATCACAAATCTTAAAACTTCAAAACTCATGCAATCGATTGTTGTCCTCATTATTTCAATAACGAGCAAAACATACTAATTAACATCTTACGAACAATATGTTCATACTTGCATAGGAAAGTAAAAGGAACAATATATTGTTTGTTATGTTTAACATAGAATATCTAACGAGGCAACATCCCCAAGTGTTTATTTGCTTTTCAATGGGAACTGATTACGTCTTATAGATCTTAATAAACTACATGTATGCCTACAAAAAAACAAAAACAACCCGTTCTTATTTATGGTGTTCCTGAAGAAAAATCGTACGTCTTTGAATATTTCAGAGAAAGCTCACCAAAAAAAAAAAGTTCGATATTTCCTGAGAAACAGACGATACACACAAACTATTTTTTTTTATAGACATAGTTGATTAAGATCTATAAGATGTACTAAATGTTGAATCAAAAGTGAATTGACACTTCGAAATGTTCTTTTGTGAGTATCGTACAAAAGATGTCTATAATTTTACTTTGAAGAATTTTTGCATAAGATTTTTATTCCTTTCTTATCATCATTATTCCTAATTAATTTAAAATTCATTGAATATTTTTTTTCGATTTTTCATTTTATGAAATTTCAAATATTTATTTGATTTAATGAATTTTTTTCATCAAGTATTTAGGCCTATCCAAAATTCATGGCTGAAGTACTTTATTTCCGAAAAGAAAGCTTCAACAAACTTTCTTTTTATATGTAGTGATAGTAAAAATAATGCTCTAATTTTCTATCATATGTGACAGTTATACTAACGAAAAAAAGCCGAGTGGATATTTTTTGAATCACTTTTAATAGAAACAAGATAGAGAGTTGCGATTTTCATCATTGGAAAGTGGAAATGAAGATGCGTCGAATTCGTATATTATAGTTTTTTTTTTGACATGAATTTTTTAAAGTTTTCAATTGTTAAGTGTGTATTCAAATCGCCAATGGAAGATCTACAAAAGTGTACAAAATTCAAAGATTTAGAATTTACCATTCAGGAGTTATCGGTATTCTAGTCGAAGCTCTAAATGATTAATCCAGCAATTTCTGTGAAAAATTTTTTTTTTGCGACTTCTTTTTTGACAAAAAAACCATATTTTTCAATATTTAGAAATTTGATTAAACAAACTTCAGACAATATACAAGGAAACCTTGTAATATATGATTCGATTCATCTTCATTTTCACTTTTCAACGGTGAAAATCGCAGTTCTCCACCTTGTTTCTATTGAAAGTGATTCAAAAAAATATTCACTCGGCTTTTTTCCCGTTAGTATAACCGTCAAATATGATAGAAAAAAAACAGACCTTATCGAAATTTTATTATTATGATATTAGTTGAAGAATAATGAAATACTATAGAAAAATAGAGCATTATTTTTAATATCACTACATATAAAAAGAAAGTTTCTGCAAGTTTTATATACGGAAATAAAGTAATATTTTCGTGACTACTTTTGGATATCCCTCAATAAATTTTGAGTTCTGACAAATATTTAAAATTTTTATCGAAAACTGTAAAGCCTAAATTCTATAGCCTTTTTTTTTCAAGTTTGAACTCATTACAACATAATGCAGGTTGAGAAGACCCTCATTTCAGGCTATAAACTTAAAATCCTCAGATGCTTCCTTCAGGAAGATGTGAGTATCGCAAAGGCTAGAAATTCTGTCGCCTCCCACAAAACTCTGTACTTCATTTTTTCAAGCTTCACTTCTTTTATAACAATCACGATCACATTCGACTTCGTCATTTTTTTTTTTCTTTCAAAAATATCGTTCTTGGAACTCAGAAGAAGCTAAATATTGAAATCATTGCCAAAAAATTGTTTTCTTTTCAATGATACTAATTTTTAAAAGGCTATTGAATTTTATAGAAACAACAATTTGAACCCGACCGGACATACCGTATGGAAGAAAATTTCTGTTTTTTGAATTATTATAAATTATCTTTTATCGTACATATAAAAAACTATTCATAAAAGATTAATAAACGAGATTACGACCTAAAAGACAGGCTTTTTTTTTAAGACAGAGGTTCTCAAAACTAAACTTTTTCAACGCTTATACAACTTGGCACGGTTCTAATTTTTACAACACTTAATAGAAAACATTTCAATATACATAATCTTGACATTGATAAAAATTTCTATTTTAAACATGCATATCCAAGTACATATTTTTCTCTATCTGTCAATTTACAAGTTAGGCTTCTATCAGTTTTCATTCGAACACAACAGGCCTCGCACATTTATGTGGATACTTTTTTTTTAGTACGACAATTTAACAATAAAATCGTGTATTTCTTTAATTACAAATGAAACCTATTGTCTTGTAAAATTAAGTTTTCATATGAATTTAATAATTGAGAATTATATTTTACAGCAATTCAAAATAAATCTAACCTCTTAAAATTCACAGTATATAAAGCACAATTATTTAGATCTGTCAACACTTCATACATCTGGTATCCATTGACAGATTGGCATTACTGTAACCCATATCATGTCTTTTTTTTTCCTCATTTTTTATACCATCCATGTTGATATTCAATGTAAAACAAAAAAATACATGAACATTTTAATAAATATGCATTTGAAAATCTCTTGTATATATATATATATATATATATACACTCTTAAGCTTCATTGATTTAGATAAGACAGATTTTGCATCTCTCCCTTTTGATAGTATTGCATAGCACTCGCCATCGCCATGAGAAATCCATCACTCTCATCATCATCATCACAGTACGACCACATTTGTTTCGTCTCTTTTCTATTCCTCTCGTTTTTATGACTGCTTCTTGCCCGAGAAGCAATTTGCTATAAAGGCAACAGCAATGATAGAATCAATAGACAAAAAGAATGTATGCATCCGTCTGCTCGCATACAACCATCCAATGCACAGCGTCTAATCTATCAATCGGCCTGTATGTGCGTAGAAGGAGAAAGAAACGACGAAGCGCACGCACGCACACATAGACGCAACGACGCACATAAGCATTCGTCGTCCGTCGACGGGAATAAGCAAACGAAGAAAGGAAAAGCATTATAACGGCTGCCCTATGTTTTGTATACGGAGAAAAATGCCGGCGTTCATAGAGAGAAAGAAAGAAAGAAAGACAGAGAGAGAGAGAGAGAATAAGAGACGAGAGAGAGAAAGAGCAAGCAATGTAAAAGCGCTTGCTTCAGTTGTTGTAGAGCACACATACATATAAACGTCGACGTTTTTACATTGAAACTAGCGCCTCGCTAAACAGTTTCTTTCGACTTCTATCGCCCTCTCTTTTTTTTTACCCGCCAAAGCGAAGTAAGCATAGAATTTTTAACTTGTTTTTTTGAAAATCTTTAATTTTACTTCTAATATTAGATCAATTAATAATGCCACGAGCATCAAAACAAAAAGATCCAAATGCACCAAAACGTCCATTATCAGCATTTTTTATTTTTTCACAAGATGAAAGACCTAAAATAAAATTACAAAATGCTTCATTATCGGTTGCTGATGTTGCTAAAGTTATTGGAGAAAAATGGCGTGCTGCACCTGATGATTTAAAACGTAAATATGAAAAAGCAGCTAAAGAAGCTAAAGAACGTTATGAAATTGAATTACAAGCATACAAGAAAACTGGTATATAAATATATATATAATAATATTAAATGACTTTTCACAATAACAAGATTCTTTTTTATTATAGCTGAATATAGTCAATCGAAAGCTCGAGCTTAAAAAAAATATCATCGAGAATGAACATTTCATTTATTCATTTAAAAATATACATTGTTCTCTCTCTGTTTTTTTTTCTCTTTCTCATTGTGTAGTATTATTATTGTTGTTGTGTGCATGTGTTTCATTTTTTGACTGTATTGTACAGATAAATAAACGAATGTTTACTGGGTATTGATATAATATGCATGCTTTTTTTTTGTTTTTTTTTCTGTTGTTGTTGTTAAAAAATCTATAGATATGTGTTTGTCTATTTTTGCTTTATCTCTAATGAAATAAAATGTTTCTATCTTATAGATAGATTAAAAATAAGAAAGTTGTCTAAAAATCATTCTTAGGGTACAATATCTATGAGTGTTTGTTTGATCAGTACATACAATAATAATAATCCGTAATTATAAATATATTTTTTACCTTCTATTTTATCGATATGAAAACACATTGTTTTTATCTGTAGAGAAAAAAAAATGATCGTTTAGATATTTTATTCGATCATCAACATATATAAAGATTTTTTTTTACAATCAAATTATTACACGAACTATGGTCTTAACTTTATTTTATCATAGAAACTGATTGTAAAATGAATCATTTACAAAAAAAATTTTTCCAATGTACTGTCTATTTTAAATATATATCAATAATTTAAAACTATATTGTTTTAACTGTCGCTTAGAGAAACTCGATGCTATCGAGCTCTCTCTTCCTCATAAAATAATGGATTGAAAAAAAAAAAGAAAGATTAGCCTAGAACACATGATTACTAAAAATGAAGTTTATTTTAAGATTTTCAATGTAATAAATCATATGGCAATGAATATAAGACAAAATTAATGGAATAAAGCATTTGATGGTTTTTTTTTTGCAAAACACAAAATTTCATTTAGTATTGTTCGATATGACAGGTGTTTTCAATTATTAGGGCCTTCAACTCTTTTAAATCTATCTGCGATCAGTTACATTCTAATTGGATCACAATTTCAGATCTGTAGTGAACAGGTTATACTAAAATTTTTAGCTTGATACGATAATGTTTTCAGAAGATATTTGTCAAACAAGGATTAAAATTAAGTCATTTGATAGCTCTAAATTCTCAGTAGATCTTTATTCTATATACTTAATGCTTTATTTTTTATTTGAAAGAATATGTCAGACTGGAGTGACTTTTCTTTTAAAATTTTTACTTTTTATTGACAAGTTCAATACGTCAAATGATCATTTATTTAGGGAAGTACATTAATAAAAAAAAAAAGCTTATTTCAAAAACAAAACAGGCACTGCAGTTTAACATGCTCTTGCAAACAAAAAGAAAAAAACCATGAGTTACAATAAAACCCTTTCGAGAATTCTGGGATGCCCAATCCGAAAAAGATTTGTCGCTTTTGCTGAGAAAAAGAAACATATTTTTCAAGCAGAGGGTGATAAAAATTGTTGGAAAAACAATCATATTGTTTGTGAAAAATCTGACATCAGGTTATTCTCCCATACATTTATCTTATTTTCGATGAAATTCTGATGGAAATAGATTATCTTTCAGTGGAGACTTAAATTAAATGTTACAAGGAACATGATTATTTGTATTGAAGTTGTTCGTTTAAATCTTCTTCGAATTAAAAGATACAAAATACAAAAACAAAAAATTATTTACGATGTTAAGACTCCATCAGAAGAGTGTTAAAGTTAATAAAAAATTAAACATATTATTTTAATGAGAAGTAAGTGCGAAGTCATAGTACAGAATCATCAATAAAGAATGCCTAGGTAAAAATCACATTTTCCCATCCCTTCACTCTCTGTCCTTTGAACGTCGAGTTTCTAAAGTTTTTCTAGCAAGAGTCTATTCACTTTCAAATATAATGTCATTTTTTTTTTAATTAAACGAATAAAATATCTGATTTATTCGTTGATGATATGTCATAGAATTCTGAGAAGATACTCATTTAAAAATGCTGATCAAAACTAATTTAAGTTAGGAAATGCTTAAAAACCGACGAAAAAATTTGAATAAATGTCAAGATGCGTCTGACCTTCTCCTCTCCTTGTCCAGTTTTTCAGACTCTCATCCACCATTTTTTTCTAGATGTCGTTTATGAATGGTTACTAAGCGATTAAATCAAGTATTACAAAGGTATGATTACTTGAAACAATGAAATTTAATTAGATAATTAATTACACTCAAAACGTTGAACAATAGCAAGAGACTTTTAGATTTATGGATACATTTTAATCTAAATATTAAGACTTTATAGATAATTATGAAGAGTATTAATCCCGATAGCATTTTTTTTTTCGAATTTTATATTAAGTTTTTATTTTTAATATATATTTGAAAATAGATTATTGTAGCCAATCAAAAGAATAAAATATATGCAAATGTAAGATTTTAGAATGATCTTTGATTGTATTTGAAATGCTGAATAATCATCGGTGATACTACAAAAGAAAATCATAAAATATATATGCATAAATATCCAATCCTGTTTAAACAAACATGGTTTTAAATTGATAAATAATATTTAACATATAATTTCTAAGTATATTTATTTGAAAATAGGCAAATAATGTAAGTGTTTGAACAATAGACATCCATAACAAACAGAACGATTGATAAGTAAAAATACATTTTGAAATGTATTAGTAGAATAAGAAATCTGAATATTTGATTCAAATATATAAACACAAGTATGATTTCCGTTTATTTCTGATCAAAATAATATTGTAATTTTCATTTGAAAAGAAAAAATTGAAACCATACAGTAAGATGAATTTTCAATAATGAGAATACCATAGTTCTTTATACAATAATCTGTATTTATCTGTGCAATTTTCTTTGAATTGTTTTTTTTTCCAGTGAAAGATTAATAGGAACTTTTCAATTTCTATCTATAGATTTAAATCATTGTCAATGAATTGCTTCATTCACTCCTTGTATTGACTGTACGAACTACTAAAATTGTATTACTAAAAGTGATATTTTCTATAAAACAAATCGATATCTACCCAAGACAAGAAAATACGGATCGTTTCCAATTGGAATATTCACACTAGAAAAATTCGACCACTGATCTGTTCATCGGATTCCTTCTTCTATGTTCCTATCATCTTTCCGACAGGAATCTGTCGAAAACTCATGTATCCCGGTGCCGAAATCATTGACTTGGATAGTTATATTTACGATGATTAAACATCAGTGAAAATTTTTATATTGGAATATTTGATATAATTGTTCAAAAATTTGATAAAAATTTTTCTTAGCTATATGATGAATAGATATAGACAAGATAATCCCGACACTAGGATCAACACTTTTTCATTGAGAACGATACTTTTGCTGCTTCCAGTGGAACCAACAAACAACAATGATTGGTCCCGCTTGTTTTTACTTCTTTAGTAACATAGTGCATGCGTATGTGTATCATTTTTGTAACATAGTTGACATTGTAATTCAAGAATATGATCTGTATGTTAGTGATATAACCAGAAAAAATCGTCGAGAGGAGTCAATTCCTTGATGACATCTCTAAAGGAACCTCAAGGCTTTTTATCACTGGATCGCGATCATTTGTAGGAATAGAGGACCTTCGTCTGGTTATGTTATTACTGTCTGTGAGGGTGTGTACTAAATCAAGTCTTGCCATATTGAATTCTATCTGATGAATATTTATTTGAAGGACTAGACTTAAGTAATTACTTGATACATATTGGAATAATTCGTGCCTTGAAATCTGATATCTTTATTAATCAACAAAATTAATTCAATTACTTCTATTTATTTATTTATTTATTTATTTATTTATTTATATTTTCTAATAGATATAACAGATTTTTTTAATTATTCTTCCATTTTAAAGAAATTTATTGATATATATTAGTATTTATAATAACATAGACAAAAATATAATTCTTCAACTTTTTTTTTTTTTTGTTAATACAAGTGTTGTAGCAATAGGTTCATTTAATTGAATTTATCAAACATTTTTCGGTGTTCAATTTACTCAGTATGTGAATGTCGCTGTTGCTACTGCTATCTACATTTATAATTCATTGAATAGTAACAAATTGAATGTGTACATAACCATTCTTTTCTTTTTTTTTTTAATTTACACAATCTACAATTAGAGTGGATTGTGTACATGAGAATTAAGTATGACCTGTCATCAAAAAAAAAAAGAAAAATTTCTTTTCTCCACCTTCTATTTTAATTTCGACACAGTGTTCAATCGTTTTCTTTTATTTATTCATATTACACTCTTGAAAATTAATCTTTCATATTATATTTGAAACATAAAAGACCAGGTTAATATCTATCAAGGATGTCTAATGTATACAAATATAAAGTAATCTTTTGTGAGATGTTCTTATCTATCCACTTGATCTGGTCATTTACGACATAAAATCATGAATATACATGTGTATATATGTATTTGTCTCAAGACGAGACATTCAATCGTTATATATATATATATATATATATGTATGTTGAGTAATATGAGATATTTCTTCGTCTCTAAAATCTTCTTGAGTGAATGTGTGTTAATGGATTTAGATTGTTATAGGAAGATACACTTAAGTTTGATTCTTTTTTTTTTCATGTTCTTTCTAACATCTTTTCTTGTTCAATGTCAATAGATTAACGGCGGCATTCTATGTCTATCCTAAAAGCATTCGATGCTTTGTACTTCCTACACCACCCTTTCTTTTTTTTTTTTTTTACTCAATTGAAAACATATGCCCGGAAGATGTGACTCTGAAATTCTCGTTTGTATACATATCTTGACACTCATTCTTGAGAAATGATAAAGTTTATATGTCAGCAAGAGTCTCGACGAGTGTATGTGAGAAAGCAATACATTGACACATTTATCAATAGATATACACACATAAGGATAGACATATTTTCACATTGTATAGAGAATGTCCCTTAACATTGTCGAGATCAATATCCGATTGTTAAGAATATTTGTTTCTTTTTTTAACATACACAATAAATATTTATTTAAATAGTAGAACAACGACAAATATCTAATCTTCTGTTGATCATTTAAAACTATTTTTATATGTGACTATGTATATGTTTATAACGAAGAAAAAAAAAACAACTTGTGAGATAATCCTCGTTGCACTACTCCTCCTCCTCTTTCTTCTCCTACTGTCTATCTTTATTTCCTTACGTATTTCATTATTATTATTCCACTACTACTACTAATTGAAGTAAATATGTAAGTTTAAATAAAGACAAAAAAGAAAAGAAAGTGATGATCTTCTTACGTAAATCTCTAATGAGTATGTAAACTAATGATCATAATCTTAGTCTTCAATACTAATAGACAATGTTTTAGTAGACAGGTAATGAACATAAATTTCTTTTCATGATGTAACTTATTTCTATACAATTTCAATTAAACTTTTTTGTTTTGTGTCATCGTAATCGTTGTCTTTACTATCACAAGAAAAAAAAACAAATTTCATTTGATTATACTGTTCTTTATCATTATATATTAAGTTTTTTTTTTTTTGTTTTTACATATAGAAAAGAAATGCTTACAACAAGCAAAAAAAAAAAAAAAAAAAAAAGAAAAAAGATTAGAATATCTGTTGATTATACTCATCATCATCATTATTTTGTGGACAATAACTTGAATAAAAATGTTGATCAATTAAATGCAGATGAAAATCTTTTTTTTTTCTCGTTTTTAACCATAGATTAAGTATCGATGAAAGTGTTCTTTGTTTAATATTAAATTTAGACCAAATTGAACGAAATAAAAATCCATGTAATGGACATGATGGTGCAAATATTGATATACGATTACTTGATTGACGAAGATTATCAAGAAGTTTTAATGAAAAATCATATGAATTTATATTAATATTATCAAATTGTAATTGTGTTAAATCAAATAATGATTGTATAATAAATATTTTAACTCTTAAAGGAAATAATTTAATAGCTTCACTACCTAATAAACATTTATAATGTGGTTTTAATTGACATAATTTTGATATTTGTGTATTCCAATAGATCATACCTTGATTTATTTTTGATATACCATTTAAATTATTTGTATAATCAATAAACCAAGCTGAATCAATAATAACACGTAAATCAATATTTAATGAAAATTTTCTTAATAAATCAGGTAAATTTAATAATAAACCAAGACCACCAGCTGAAAAACCAATAAATATAATTTGTTTTGAATTTAAAAAATAATTATGTTGATGAAATATAGCATGAAATATATCATAACCATGTGAATGAGTTTTATTTGATGAACCAGACCATAAATCTGATGAACAATATGGTACATAAATTATATTAAATTGTTTAAATGATTTTAAAATTCCTTTAAATAAATTTTCTTTATTAAAATTATTTGATGTTATTAAATTAGGTGAATATTGTCGACGAAATTCACATGATTCATTTGAATAACAAAACCAACCACCATCAAAATAGATTAACCAACGAGAATTATTATTATTATTATTATTTGTTAAATGTATATAATAAGAAGCTATACTATTATCCATACAACGTGCTTGTGAATAATTTATTAATAATATACGTTGAAAATTTTTATTCAAAGATATTTTTGTTAAAGATAATGATGGTAAATGATTTTGTTGTTGATAAATAAGTGTTAAAATAATTAAACATGGAATAATTAAACAAAGAAATAAAATAATTATTCCAATTTCAATTGAATAAAATTTATGAGATGTTTTTATTTTAATTAATTCTGAACTTGGTATTGATGATGATATCGATGATGTCATGATTGAATATGAATAAGTAATTTTGACTTTATGTATATATATATATATATATATATCGAATTGTTCTCTTTCTTTTTTCTTCTTCTACTATTAGTGAAGAGAGAGAGGAAGAGAGAGAGAGAGAAAAAAATAAGAGAAAAGAAAATGATTAGTGATGGGTAGCAGAACTAAATATTGACAAATCAACATGGAAATTTGAAATATATTCAACAAAAAAAAAAAAAAAGTGAACAACAATTCAATCATCATCACTCCATGACATATATGAACAAATAAGTATGAGATAGTTTGTTGTTAAGATGCAGATGTCTGACTGTGATTTACTCTGAGCTGTCAAACTCATCACATACATATATCTAATCTGTCTATTTAACCTGTCGTCTGAGAAAATTGTAATGTCAATCAGATCATTTTATTGAGAACAGAACGAATTATTCAATAAATTTTAATCGATATTCTAAGCAACAGCAGGAAGCAATGTCAGATATTCAAGGATAGATAACAATATGTTACCATTCATGATTAATAATTCTACAATCATATGCATATAATTATTTCATCTATTTTAAGTTTATGCATTGATTCATGTTATGTTTTTTGAAGAAAAATATAGTGAGCAGAAGTTTGAAATCAAGATTTTGTGGTTTCCTCCTCGTCACGATGAGGGAGAGGAGGAGAATCCTAATGATCATTGGATACGTTTTCATAGCAACTGAGGGCAACAGGTGTCAAACTTATTTCCCAGAATTCCTCAGCAAGCAAAAAGGGCATTAACAACAAGACTTATACTATTTTAGAACATAATTAGAATACGTTTGTGATTTTTGCGCAGATGAAAATTTATGTTTAAGATGTTAAGGAGGATGGGTAATACTGTACGAAATGTAGAAATAAAAAAGACATGTGAGTTCACATTTTAGGCAAAAATGGGCTACGCTGACAAAGTTTTTCAATGATATGTTCAAAAAAAATATGCTTATTTATATTAGTATTAAGACTGTTAATAAAAACTTATTTGATTTTTTTTACTAATCAGATCATTTTATCTTGAAACCGAAATACTAGCTTATATAATACTAACTATTCTAATAGTGCTTGAATACATTATAATACATAGATTCATAGTAAAAAGAAAACATTCAAGTGTAAATAAAACCAACTGTAGCATTTACTTTTGAATTTAACAGAGTACTGTTCATTTCTTAGTATAGAATTACAGAATAGTGACATTTGCATGATCAAAATATGATTAGTTTTAGAAGGATGATCAGATATATTATAAACAGAATATGTATGATTGCAAAGATAGTTTACATGTTAAATTTAAATGATCATTATCAAACGATCATATGTGTATTGTCGTATTAATAAATGGACTTTTTAACTGTTCATTGTGATTTTATCTATCGCATAATCAAAACGAACAAATCATTCGAATTAAATATATTATTGTTGTCATCATGTCAAATATGATTTTTGTTTTATAAGCTATGTAATCGATTCAAAATTTTTGATATTTGCTAAACATATTGATCCAACACGCAACAAATAACTCTCTCATATTTTACTCATTGATATCTATTTTTGTTTTTTTGAATAAGAATTTCTTTCTTATGTGAATCAATTTGTTTTCCCATTAGATCTAGATATTATAATATAAAATTATTTCAATAAAAATTTTAATATTCTTCTATAGATTTTATCACGCTTCAGTAGTTAAATTATCGACTTTTTTTAAATATTCTAAACTTAATTTTTTGTTCGTATTATCAAATTTGGACTCTAGATGATCTCTTCGATCAGATTTTCGGACACATTTCACGTCCAACAAAACCGTTATAATATAATCATACAATGCCGTTCGCAAAAATAGTGTGTGTTCTCTTTCTCGAAATACTTGAGACATCCTAACAGTGCTCACTGAGAATTGACAGCATGTAATAAATAGAAAATTATTTGACATTGTGATTATGTCTATATAACCAGGGAGTAACCTGATGTCATTGTTCATCTTTTATTCTTTCGATTTAACGTATTCATTTTACATATTTTTATTTGATTAACGATGGAACATATTGTCGAACGAATTCGAACGCCTGTTACTCTCGATTGCTAAAGTCTATAATGAAGACCTGTGTTGCTATGGCCTGTAATGGAGAGGAGAGCCGCAAAACTTCTACTTAAAAGTTACACTTACTATTTTCTTCGAAAATATATGTGAGTTCTACAAAAGAAGAGAAAGTTACATGTGGATATTCGTTATGGAACATATCAACTCAGTATCTTTTCCGAGATGGCATCGGGAACAGAAAAAAAAAATTTTTTTTAATGATAATTTTTAATGACATCAATGAACTAGAACATGTCATTTGTTATATTTTATATTCGATTTACTTCACTCTTATACAAGACTATTTGATTTATAGATTGTATCGTGTAACAGATGATTAAATCATAGTACGTTTCTATCATTTGTACAAATTTTGAGAAATCGTAAAGAAGAAAACGTGTTTCAATATATGGACAAAAATGACCTTCTATAAATTTACATTGGCAAGAACATGATTGACGAATGAATACATTCAATTTATTATAAAAATCTCATTGTCGAGTGACACTTACGTGAATGTGGCTTAATCTTTCAATGTAGTACCAACTTTATTGCATATCTGCATAATATTTTTTCGAAAAAAAAATTAAGCGAATGCTTCGATAAGGTTGGACAATAACCTTTATAATTCAGTTTTTCATACCAAAATAGAGATGAACAAATATTTTATTTATCTGATCTCAATACCAGTTGGTAGACCTGCAACATAATGTGCACTTTTTGAATAATTGTCAACAATCTGGAAAATATTGAAGACGTCAAAGACATACATTGCGTAAAATTCCTGCAATTATTGCTCGATTAAACAGTAGAAAACTTGAGGTTTTAGGAAGCAAAATCTTAAAGATAAATATTTGTATAGATTCTGAGTTTACCACATTAGTTCTGGTCCCGAACATTTCTCAGCTAAGCACGAATATGTTCGAAGAATACAATTGTAGTAAAATTACTTATACATTGATGAAAAAATGTTATTTGGAAAATTGCAAATGAAACTCTTGAGATGTATTTTACAAGTTTATTGTGCTTTAAGAATTGAATCAAGTCAAGTATCTTGAAAATAATTTTTCAAAGCTATCGAGTGACCATTCTTCCTTAATGAAGTCATTTAGAATATGGGAATTTTTTCGAACGATATAATCAGTCAATGTCTTTAAGTCAAATTGTCCATAGTAGACTTTGAAAAGTTTCTTTGATTATGTTTGAAATATTTTCTTTGATTATGTTTGAAATA